CTCTGATGGGTCGTCTCACGCCCCACACTTCTGGCCTGCCCCCCAGTTCTATGCATATATAACACCATCAGAAAACAGAAACCTAGAGAGTGTCCATTTCAGGGCACTGGACGTCTGCCCTGAGACCCCGGCAGTTCCCACTCCCTCACTGCCTTCGGGCTCCCTGGCATCAGCGAGGAGTGGGTCTTTCCCTTGCCGATGAGTGCCGGGTGCTCTACGGGGGTGCTCAAGGCCATTTCCACAGGCGAAGGCAGTGGAGCAGCGGAGAGGGTGCGGTGCCCGAGCCCCCCGACAGCCCTGGGACAGTTCGCTCGCCGCGTGAGCGCTCCCTGACAAGAAGCCGAGGGCTTGCCCTCGGAATGATCGTTTGAAACGCCAGGACAGAATGGTCGGCTTTGCCTAGTTCTGTCGGGACCCCCACCCGGTCTGCAGACAGCCCCTAGCCGTGTGTGGCTGTTTGAAGGGTAACTAAAGTTGAGTGAAAGTTAAGACTCGGTTCTCGGGGGCACTGGCCACACTTCGAGGGGAGCTGCGTGGGGCACCTGGCCTCCACGGACCAGAGAGAGAGCAGAGCAGCCTCCCCCAGAGCGTCTGAAAGTGGGTGGTTGTATGTGCGCTTAGTCAGGTTTTAATTTACTTATTAAAATTGTATCCTTACAAATTGAGGTAGAGTATCTGATTTCGGGGTACAGTTCCCACCTCTTGAACTGTACGCTAGCACTCCACACCCTCCACCAAAGCCCCAGGTGCCCCCCGCCAGAGGATGGGCCTTGGGAGGTGTTTGGCACTAGAAGCGAGACGTGGCACTTTTTGCCAGCGTTCATAATAAAGTGAAGTTGATGTCTAGAATGTTCCTAGCTTGACCTTTTCCTCCCAAATGTTTCTTCTGCTCTGGTTCCTGGCTAATGCTGGACACTAGCTGTCAGTAGACACTGGCCAGAGAGATGATTAAAACAGCAGCAATTAAAATGGAAAAAACAAGCCTCAACTTCCCGAGCAATCAGGCTTACCATTGTGCGTGTGTGCGTGTGTGTGAATGTGTGTGGACACACAGTGATGCTGGTAATTTTGAATTCCTGTTTCATCCGTCAGTCATTGTTACATTTGTCATTAATTTCTTTGGCGTTTTTACCTCTGCATATTTTTTTCTTACTTTCCATATTCTCTGATTTCCAAATGCCGTTGGGTCCTCTGTGTTAATATCTTGCAGTGTTCATAAAAGATGTTAGCCCTTGAAATAACCACCTATATTCTTTCTTAAGCAAATATGACGGCCCTTAAATCGGCCTGAGATAACACGTGAGGACACTTATTCTTCGAGCCCTCCAGCCTTTCCCTCTGAAATGCGTGCAAGCAGCCGGGCACCGCCCTCCGCCTGGGCCCGTTCTGGCCTCTGCATGCAGCTGGCGTCACGGTTTTCCATGTGCACAGCAAAACTAATTAGGTCTCCTTTGCAAAGAAGGTGACTTTGCAATGCATTTTCTTTCTCGAATAAGGCCCCCCGTCCGAGAGACATAGGTGTTGCTGCAGCCGAGTGGAGCGGTGGGGCTCCAGGAAGACTCGTGTCACATTTGGGGTCTGCACCCCAGAAGGAGAGCCGGCAGTCCAGGCAGTTAGCTTCAAGGATTTTTCTAGTGGAGCGTATTTATCTATTAATGCTGGGAAAATCCATTCTCTTTCCTGTTAATAATAGATCAAGGACTGCGCGGGCTGCAGGTGGGTTGAAGGCGATGCTGCTGGCTCGGGCCTCGGGGTCCCGGCGCCTCCTTTTCATCCTGTTTCCTGGGATGGCTCGCCCCGCGGGCCCTCGAGCTTTCTCTTCCCCACGGCTTCGTCTTCGTGCTTGCGGAGTGCGCAGCTCTGCAGAGGGGAGGAATTCATTAAGCAGAGAAGGATGAGATGGCTAAGCCAAGAGCAGACACGGGACCTGCAGCCGCCATCCCTCGGGCTCTGAGGAACTCCCCCGGCAGGTACTAGCCCTGGTTTGTGGGGAGAGGGGGCCGGTTTGGAGGCTCAAGGGATTCTCCTGTTCACATGGGCCTCCTCCTGCCATTCCCGGGTGCACAGGGCCCCCGGCGTGTCCTTGTATTAGGAACATCCAGTGGGAAGAAGAGAGGTTTTCACTTGCACGTGTATTTTTTCTTTTTTAACCAAAGAGAATCTTTGTCAACACAGTGCCAGCTGGCGAACTGGAGAAGCTTTGCCCTGAGCCCTCCTTTGTCCCTCCCGTAGATGCCACTGGGCCCCGGTAAGAGCCCGTAGCCAGGTTCCTGCTGAAAAGGAGCCCAGGCTGCAGGCGGCTGGGGTGGAGGCTCAGCTGGCAGGTGCGATGGGAGGCCACCGGCCACTCCTGCACCGGCCCCGGCCTCCATCGTCCATCAGTCCCAGAAGCCTCTCGAGGAGGTTGGCACTGACGGCCCCGGCCTCCATCGTCCATCAGTCCCAGAAGCCTCTCGAGGAGGTTGGCACTGATGCCATCTCCCCGTTTTACCAACGGGGAGCCAGGGGTGGGTTGAATAACGTCTCCTGGCCAC